GCCAATTTATAATTAGAAGCATTGTATCAGTTACAACTTGCTACAACATTTTCTTCTCCAACCTTCTTAACAACCTCATCTAACATCTCAAAAACCATTTACCCTGTTTTTGAAAATGTCGGATGTATCTAGTGATGACAAAAAAATAGTTCCATTAGGCTATTCACAAGAAAATTAATATGGATCTTCTCTTTCTATCGACTGAAATTTTTGATTACATTAAATTATTTATTTATTTTATTTATTATATACATATATATATATATATATATTTAACACACACCTTAATACATCTATTGTATCACCATTCATTCACTATTCACTCAATAAATTAACAAACTCTTAACACATATTTTTGAGTTTCATTTGAACACTTTTTATCATATAACATATACTTTAACACACAATTTTAACACATCCATTGTGGATGGCCTTAACCCTAGTTAACTCCGCACGCGCGCTTATATAAGCCAGCTTTGGGGCGGGCTTTGTTTGGGGATCATTGGTTAGGTGTGGGGTCTCTTCGTTTAGGGTTGTGATATCACCAAAAATATCTCTATGTCTGTCTCATCCACGGATTCTGTGATTGGACACGAGGTCTTCGTTGGCGGGCTCGCTGGCACCACCGATGATCAAGACCTTGTGCAGGCCTTCTCTGAATATGGAGTAATTGTCGAATCGAGGGTCCGTTCTCTCTGTTAACTCTCTCTCTATATGTTACTTTTATTGATCGCCTTCTTTTCTCGAAATCGATCGATTTTGAGTTTCAGTTCTAGTTTTGTATATATACTTTGATTTTGTTTGTTTGTTTATATGTTATTGATCTTTGTAGATTTGATCGATTTATGTTTGATTTGGTTTTTAGATCATCAAAAATCGCGAAACTGGGAAATCGAGGGGGTTCGGATTTGTGAAATTCAAGGATGAGCAGGCGATGAGGGATGCAATCGAGGGGATGCACGGCCAGTATCTTACCGGTCGTAACATTACAGTCAGTGAGGCCAAGACCCGCGGAAGCGGTGGCGGCGGTGGCGTCGGGCTCCGCAGCCATGGAGGTGGCTACAACCGAGGCCGCGGTGGCTACAGAGGCGGCGGAGGCGGCGCAGGACGTGATGGAGGTGGCTACGGCGGAGGGCCTGACCGTGGATACAGTGAGGGCAGTGGTGGCCACTACTCGAGGGGAGGCGGTGGTTCTGACGTAACCTGGGCCACGGCTAGGATTACTATTGATGGGCTTTTTAGGGTTTAGATTTTGAAGTCCTTCGGCAAGGAGGGAAAAAGCCAGCTGTTGGCTCTAGGATTTCTATTCATGGGCTTTTATGGTGCTTGGATTGTGATTTTCTCTTTTTTGTGTGTCTTTTTGACCCTGGGTTTTTGAAAAGTTGGTAAACAGTAGACTTTTTAATTTTTTTTAGTGTGTGGTGTTTTGGGTAAAAAGGCCGGTTTTTTTTGGCAACTTCCCAAGGGCCCTTGTATGCGGGTAGTATTTTTGTTTCGGATACGAATGAAGATGAAGTTTCGTTGAACTAATTAAGTAAGTAGTTTGGCATCTTCTAAATAATTTATTTTTTTATCTTTTTTTTATCGTATTATTTTTTTATTTTTTTACATATTTTTTTGTAAAAGGACAAAAAAAAATATAATTGTTTAGATTGTTTCAAACAACAAATTAGATTTCAAAATTCTTGTGTATTTTTTTTTTATAATTTTTGTGGGATACCTCGTGCCTTATAATTTTCTTTATTGAATCATAATTAAAAAAAAATAAATATGATAACTAAATATATAACTAATTAAAGAATTTATAATTAAAATAATATTATAATTTATCAAGGTAAATTAGATTGACATCTTCTTGGGGTTTATATTTAGGGTCTAGCTTGTCTCAGATTGAGATCAAGACTGGACTCGTCCAGTTCGGCCCATAGGACCTATTTTTTGGATCCGTTTTGATAATCTGAACTGTTCAATGTGTAAAACTCTATATGCTTGTAAAAAATTACGTTGATCGGATATCAATAGATATGTGATCAAATCAGTTTTGTATAAAAAAAAATGGACGGTGAAACAATTAACGGTTGATAAAAAACTGTTTTGTTCATATAGCTATCGATATCCGATCAACGTGATTTTTTACAGGCATATAGTACTCAAAGAGTTCTAAACATTGAACGGTTCAGATTTTCAAAACAGGACCCGTAGTGGACCCCCACGGGCCCAACAACACAGTCCAGTCCGATCTCGAACTGGACCAAAGCCACTGCCTATATATATATATATATATATATTTGGAGTGTATATGATATTTGTGGTATTGGTAATACAAATGTCATAATTACATTATTTTGAATCATAACTAAAGCACTATTTGACATCCTTTACAAAAGTGTACGTAGTTATCTTTTTATTAGATCATCACAAATATCTTCTAAAATAAAATATAGTCGATTATAATCGAACTTCATTTAAGACATAATTAAAAATCTTTTCGATCAATGCCATGTAAAGTATAATAAAAAAAGAAAAATGTTAGGATCCCAACATTTTTACCAAGAGTTTTACCAACCCATACTTTACCAACCCACGTTTATGTGACACATTTATTAAAACATTTGATAATTTTCTTTGTATCCTAGCATTGTTGATAAAAAAAAAATATCTTCCATAAGTGATAATCAAAATCACAACAGATCATGATAAGATTACAAAATTTCTCTTTTTGGAGTAGGTTCAAAAAGGCAAAGGGTTGAAGCCGTCTCCATTGTGTTTGCTGTTGGTAGAAAGAAAACAGTCCAAGATTGTCGTTAGGTAAACAACTTGTTCGGCGAACCAAATCTGTATTCTAACTCTCTGAATATTTTTTTCCCTAAAATTATATATGAAGAATATATGTACTTAGAGCAAAGAGAACAGCAATATCAAAACAAAAATACAGACTGAATTTTTCGGGGTGTCTCAACTGCTGGAAATGTATCTATATATATAGGCAACAAATTAGACCCGAAAAGGTGCTTCAAATAAGTGAAAAGGTGCAAAACAATTGTCTGACCAACGGCACAAGGAAAACCAATGTTCAAACAACTTTGAAAAGTTTGACCGTTAGTCAACAATTATAACCTGTAGAACTTTATTAATTATTCAAACTATTTCAAATATATATATATATATATTAAACTAATGCAATAGTTAAATAAATAAATAAATGATGAGGTACAAACTTTATGAAACTTTTCAGGAACCTAAAATTTGAATTTAGAATTAAATTAAATTCTCACAATTACAAATTTTAAGAAACCACTTAGGAACTCAAAATTTGAATTTAGAATTAAATTGAATTCCCACCATAATTTTTTATTGAAAAAATTCAAATGAATTTAATCTAAAAAATTAAAGTTAAATCCAAAAACGACGTCAACTTCCCATTCACTCATAAATGGTTTTGACGTTCCGTCTTCACCGTGTGACTTGCCACGCGGCAAGGAACACATCACCTCTTCGGATCCACCCCAAAAGACGTTTGGGGCCCACTCAAAATTGAGCTAAAAAATATGCCTATATTAAACCATTTTTCCAACAAAAAGAACTTTCATTCTTATCCCAATTTTTTTTTTCTTTTCATCAATTTTGATGAAAAACAGTAATTTTCAACATTTCATCTTTTTAAATTTTTATCAAATTATAATTCGATACCCTTTTTTTTTTTTTTTTACTTCAATCTTACGGTTTTCACTAAAAAAACAAAATCTAATAAAAATCCTTAACACAGAATGGGCATAGATACTTCGATTATAACCATCATCACCAATAATTCTTCTCCACCATGTAAACCTATAAACAAACACATAAATCTCACTAAAACCAAAACCAAATCAACAACAGAGATAGAGAATCACATAAGGAAAAATAAATAAATTTAAAAAGCAAACAAATTTATGGAGTGGTAGGATGTTACCCCCAACAATTTAGACCTCACCTCGCTTAATCTGTTAGCTCCTCCACCAGTGCGAGCAAAGCCTAAGAGTTGGAATGACTAATCAAATTATTCTTTAAATATAGCTTAAAAATTGATTAATTTGTCCCATTAAGTGATTTAAAATTTTGATTAATTTATTTTTTTTCAATTTATTTAAGATGGAGTTGTGGATTTCTATTTTTAAAATTTAATTTATCTATGGTTTCTATTTATTTTTAATTATTATTATTTAGGTAAGTCACGATGTGAGTTAGATATGTGATAGACATGTGAGTTTTATTGATTTAAAATATGATAGTGTAAGATATTTTCAAATAAAATTTGTTTAGATAGACTTTAAAGATTTTTAAAATTTAAAATTGGGTATTGAGAAGCAAAAGGAAGATTTTAACTGAATAAATAAAAATCATATTTATTAATTTTATCTGTTTGTATATCTGATTTTTATTTTTGGGAGGGGGGTTATGTTACAATATAATATATAAGATATAGATAGATAACCACAATTCTAATGAAAAATATTATCTGATTTTTTGAGGGAGAGAAAAGGAAGGTAAGTTTTAATATTTTCTTTTGGAAATCGATGAGAAAAATTACAATCGAGAGATTATGAAATATTTTTGTTATCTTTCCATTTGAAATCCATAAATTAAGGTGTAATTATTATTTCCAAAATAATTAAATAGGTATGGGAGAAGTTGAAAAGGGGGGATAATTATTATTTCCAAAATAATTAAATAGGTATGAAAGAAGTTGAAAATGGTGTGTATAGGAGAAGACAAAAAGGCTTGGGAGAAGTCAATAAGTGCTGAGTTTTTTTTTTTTTTTTAAATCAAAAAATTAAGAAATTAAGATTGAGATATTGGAACTCCCACAAGACTTGTGAGTTAAAAACCTTTTTTTCCTTATATAATGGATAGATAGATAGATAGATAGATAGATAGATAGATGCTATATTATGGCCTATAGATTTTAGGTTTTGGATTCTGATTTGGTCTACATTCTAATTTTGATGTTTTGGACTTCTATTTGTGTTTCTTAATCAAACATTGAATCTAATCGCATTAACTTGTCCAGTTTTCTTTTTTAATTTTTTTTTACATACATACTAGTGAATATTTGTGAATGGGTACCCTGTTCTGATTCAAGATTGACAAGTTATGGATTTTTAAAGCATCTCCATCACCCACAGAAGCTCGATCGACGACTCTTTCATCACCCATGAAGTGCACGGATGTGTGTGTGTGCTGGAAGCTCAAGAGGTGACGTAGATCCCTTTGACTCAAGAGATTATCAATCAATAACTCTAGGTAAGGATTACATGCTTGATTCTTGTAGATTAATTATCTAATAATTAAAATCAAGAAATGATTAGGCTAAATTTCATTTAATTGGAAAGAAATTAGATTTAATTTGCATGTCATATAGGTAAATTAGAAAGAGAATGAAGAAATTGAGTTAGGTTTAAAAATTAATGAAAAGTTGTTTGGGAGAAAGATTTGGGAAAAGTTGTTTATGACATTACCAGGTATCACTTTTGTGATTGTTCATCTCTCTCTTTCTCGGCAAAAGCGTGTGCTCAAACAATGTGCACATGCAATCATGTATTGTAGGTTTTTGTTTGAATGTATGTCTATGTTAATTATGTTTTTTAGCTGAATATTTTGTTCCCAACTTCTTATTGATCAATGTCAGAAAGAGGTAAGCTCTGTGGTGGACAAACAGGTAATGACTAGTTTTGGAAAGGTGTTCAATTAGAATTTTCTTCAAGTATCGTGTGATGCTGGTGCTATTTCTGACGATCACTTGCCTTCATGTTTTTGCGAATGGTGTGGTGTTGTTCACTGTTTACTTTTTTATTTTATTTTATTATTATTAAATATATACTCTTTTTTTGGGGGGGGGGGATGCTTGTATAGTTTCGGATTGTTCTCTTCATTAGGAGTCCTTGGTTTCGTCTTAGAGAGGGTGGTATTATGGTTAGGTTAAGTCGCTCTAAGTTCTCGAGGCAACTCTCTTGAGGTTCTTTCTATTATTGATGTTTGTTAAAGTGCTTGTATTGTAATCCTTTTCACTCATCAATAATAGTTCTTTTTGCTGATAAAATTTTTTTTTGCCTATCATGTTAGAGTATTTCAAGATGAGCCATTGTTTCTGTGTGTGATCTAAAGCAGCATTTTTGGCGCAGAGTTGGTTTCATAGCTGTGAAGAACTCTTACTAGGTATGTATCGAATTGTTGCTCTTTTGTGCAAAAATTTATTGAGAACTAGACTTATGTGTTTCTGTAGACGCATGTTGCCTGTTAAGAAAAGTGCTAAAAAGTCAGGTAGTGTATATGTACACTATAGAGCATGCTCTTTTTTCTTTTCTTTTTTTTATAATTTTCATGGGGCTTGCTCACCTGTTTGATTTTTGAAGCTGTTGAAAAAAATTGGAATTGTCTTTTTTACGTTATATGAGGTCCCTAGGGAATGCATGCTGGGGTTTACCGTAACTTTTAACATTGTTGATGCGGAGCCTTTGTTCCAAATCTATCCATTTGTTTCAAAAACAGTCAAAG